ATGACTTGCTTTATAATGGAACTTCTCTATGGAGACAATTTTGTTCATTTTACAAGGCATTATTGTTCCTTTCACAAATGCAGGTAGAGGGGATTTTCAGAATTAATGCGGACAATGGTCAAGCGGAGCATGTGAGAGATCAATTGAATATGGGAGTAGTTCCAGAAGGCATTGATGTACATTGTTTGGCAGGGCTAATTAAGGTATAGCATTGCAAGATGATTGCTTGCTTCTGGCTGCTCTGTTGGTGTACATGTTTATGGATGCTTGTCTGATTAATAGAACAGAATCATCAAATTGACTAAAAAAAGCCTCTTCTATTTGTAATATGATGATTACTTTTGCTTGTAGAAAACATAATGATTATTTTCATCACTACTCTCAATAAAGACCAAAATATAGAATTCCTTTTCTTTTCTTATAGATCTAGCATGTAATGGAATCATTTGTGCAAATAGAATTGATTCACCATGTGAAGTTAAGAGTAAGGAACTTCTCAATTTCAGAACAAGCTATCTTTCTATGTCTAATAAATGAGAAATAAGCATCATTTCCAAAGTCCGAAGGGTATTTGACTGAACAGTACCACATTGTATATCAGATGAATAGTAGAATTGTCTACCCATGCAATATTTGGTTTAGAGATTAGATGGTGAGCTAGTAATAGGGAATATCCTGCATGAAGGGAGGGTCTATTGTCAGTCTTATTTGTGCAGGGAGAAAAGTTAAATTCAGTATCTTAGTTAATATTTAAGTTTTTTCAGCTCTAATTTTTACCAAATTTTCCTGAGATGTCCTTTGTTAAATAGTACTCAAACAGTGTTCTATTGTCACTCATACTTATCCAATTTTCTGGTTACCAATTTTTTTTTTTTCAATATAAAAAATATTTCCTAATTGCAGGATTAGTCTTGTGAACTTTGAGATTTGAGATTATGTTGGAAAGTGGAAAAAGATGTCTTGTAATATTTGTTAGTCAAGTCAAGAATGTAAATATCATCATGGATGTGAATCTTCTAAATAATTCCTAAAAGAATTTGATCTTTTCTTTTCTGTTGCTTCTAGCCAAGCGTAGCGAGAACCTTGAATTGTTTTTTATCTGCTATCTGTTCTTCTTCTATCTTGTGCTGATGAATTGTATCCATATCCACCCTTGCTTATGTCTTAACCTTCCAACTTTTTTACTGCTAGACGCCTGCAACCTGTCAATTCATCTCTTTCGGACAAATATAACAAGTTTCCCAACATGTTTGTTCAATGGCTGGTTCATGAAACTATAACACTACTTATTTGGAATATGTAACCTGTAGGAGTAGTGTTGTTGTCCCAGCAATTAAAACCAGAACACATTCCCATGATTCCATTTAATTAAACTCTCATACATAACGAACTATTTTGTTTATGATGGAATACAAAGTAAATGACACGACATTCTTTTGCAGCTGATGCTTACAATCTATTCTTTGTGCTTTTGTTTTGGAATAAATGAGATGCTTAATGTGTACACGATAATTTATTGTGATATTCTTTATATTTTTCAAGGCTTGGTTTAGGGAACTTCCTACGGGCATTCTGGATTCATTATCACCGGAGCAGGTCATGCAATGCCAGACAGAGGAGGAGTGTGCTGAAATAGTGAGACATCTACCTCATACTGAAGCTTCACTCTTGGACTGGGCCATCAATCTGATGACTGATGTTGTTCAACATGAACATGTTAATAAGATGAATGCACGTAACATTGCCATGGTTTTTGCACCAAACATGACTCAGGTGTGTTTGCATATCTTTTTCATTCTCAACTGATTGCAGGGAAGACAAGATGAAATACATCAAGGTTATATGATTTTTCTTTCTGCATTACTAAATTGCATGTTTCTATCTTCTGAAATCCAATTAGAGTTTTCTTATCAGTGAAAATCTTTTCTGCTGAATTTTTTTGGCCATTCTGACAATACTTGACCCTTACTGTTCTGAGTTTTTCCAAGAGTAAATAGAGAGTTTGATGCAATGAAACTGTTTGGACTTTCTGACTGCAGATGGCCGACCCTATATCTGCACTGATGTATGCAGTTCAAGTAATGAACTTCTTGAAGACACTCGTGTTAAGGACACTGCGGGAAAGAAAGGATTCTGTGGTAGAATCTAATCCTAGATTTTATGTAGAACCTTCTGATGGTGATGGAATCCAAAGACTTTTGGAGTCCTTCCAGCAAGATACTCCTGCATAAAATGAAGTGGCTCAGGGAAGCACTATTTTAGAGAAAACTGGCTTAGAGTGTTCCCCTGGATCAGTCCAAAACAACTCAACTGAAGAAGAACCTGGCACTCTGGCAAACTCTTCTGAGAATCTTGTTAGCAATGAGGAATTATATTGTGAGTTTCCACCCGTAGGAAACATGGGAAAGGGTAAAAGTGGCCAATCAAGTAAATCAAATGGTAGAAAAGAGTCTAAAAAGACTAGAGGCAGCAACCCATAATCCATCAAACACTGCCAGTTGAGAAAAAATGGAGTTGGGAGTTTATGCAGCAATGGTTCATATATGAGCTGATATCAAAGCTTGGCTGTGAAGAAGCATTGAAATGTAAATTGATTATTTGACAACGTGGCATTGTAAGTTTGTTTGTCTCTTGATGAAATTGCTAGCGGAAGTTTGTGAAGTTACTTCAGTATGTTCCTTTTCTTTTATTCATTCCCTTGTTTGTTTAACTTATTTCAAAAATAGTACCATGAACACACTAACATTGTAATGAATTCTCATTCCCTGTGTGTTTACTTGTATTGATAATTATTCCTTAATCATATACACACCTTCTGTTGCACTTTTAAAATGGTATTTTTGGATCCTTACTAAGCAAATTATGTCTCGTACAATAAGTTTGGCATAAAACTTACATAACTAAGATGGGCAACATGACATGAGTCCAGATTCTTTACTAGGTTTTTGGTGCTGTCTGTCTTCTGCTGAAAGTTAAAAATACACTAATGTTGGTATGTTATAATTCTTTTTAATATATTTTAAAACATCAAAATAAGTGTCAATCAGTATATTTTGAGGGCATAATACACAGACAACATAAAATCCAGCAGAGGATACAAAATTCATATGATATGGTATGCCTTTAGGTACAAGTGGAACCTTTTATTCTTGGACCATAATAGTGGCCATACAACTTCACAACAAACTTTTATGTAAAAAATATCGTATGATTGATTTGGGAGGCATCAGGTCCACAAAGGTAAACAAACCAATGGTAAGATGTTTTATGGAGGTGGGAAATATCATGAGAAATGAAAACCACAAAACTATCAAACTTTAAAGAAAAAAATTGCAAGCTACTTTCCCACCAAAACGCGTCTACGGGTTAATTGTATGCACATTTCCATAATGTGACAAAGCAGTGAAAGGGAGGGCTAACTAAGAACCAACCATTTTCCTAGAAAGGAGTCATCAAGTTTAAAGGACTGAATCGAATATTCCTCTCCCTCTTTCCATCAAAAACAATAATAACAAGTGGGAATGGTGGAACTAGTAGCCATGCATGCATAAGTTCTTGGTTTGTGGCAATTCTGTTCTGCACCCTACTGGTCTTATCCTAGCTAGTGCAGAAAGCTGAATGAGATTGTATATATAGTTTTAAATGATAAGGAAGTTTTCCAAATTTAATGAACAACCCATTAATTAATTTTATTCGATTACCAATTCCCTGTAAAACAAATCTATGTGACAGTACAAACACCAGAATAGATTCATCTTAAGGACACATTGTGTATTATTGCAAGAAGGATAATACCCTGTGACCTATGTTTAGGTGGTCTTGGCCTAAAATCGCATAACTTTAACCAGTGCAAAGTAGCTAGAGTGGTACCAGCCAGCCTACCAGGAGTGGTCAAGAGACACTTGTATATAATCATGCCACGTTGCTTGCAATGTTCAAACCTTTCGGAGCCACTTGGACAGTTACAACTTACAAGTGAAAGCGGTTAATTCAACGTGTACACACATTGAAATGTTACATTTTAAGGATAGGAGAGAAGGGTGTGGCTGTAAGTGTGTGTTTGCAAGTTCACATCATTGTACTCTGGACAGCACCATGGAGGATCGAATCATTGCTCAAAATTTGCCCCTCACTAAACCAAGAAAGTTGTGGTCCTGTCCCTTGTGTCCTTCCACAAAGGGAACGTTCAATTGGAGTGCCATCTGCACATGCAAGCTCTTGGTTATACCACTTTTATGCATTCATCTTCACAGACAAATTAATGACTACACATTTTTTTTATGTAGTTAGGTAGAAGCCTACAAGGCTAAAACATTTGTTGCCTGATGCAATCCGTGTATTGACTGGTTTATGTTTTGGAAGATACCAAGTCATCAAGTCATTTCCAAGACCGTGTATAAAGGTTACTTTCAGGTTGGAAGCCCTTTCAATAAGGGTGTGAGAGTTCCTAGAAAACTTTAGCAATATATGGCATACTAATCAAGGGTGGAACTTACATCTATCAAGAGGAGGTTCATTGGAGATATACCACACCAATGAAACCCTAGTTCAATCAAAACTTTAAGATAATGAGTTAATGATTTTTCACCTTTATACGCTGTTTAACTTTTTCATTTTTATCTATTGTGAAACTTTGGTTTTTATCCCTTGTGAAACTTTGATTTACCCTTAGATTCTCAACAAGTAGTAGATGTAAATTTGAGTTTGAGCATTAGATATGTGATTAAATACTTATAAAATAATTTTGTTGTTGAAGTTTCAACCAACTTGAAGAGAATCATCTGTTATGATGTTTTGTCTTTCAAAAGAATTAAGATAAATCTCAGCCTATAGTTTGTTACCTAGGACTTTTATATGGCCAGAAAATCCAAAGCTAAGCTACGTAAGCATAATCACCCGTTGGCCATTTATAAGCCACACCAACTGAAATCAGAACTTTCTACTGCATATATAATAGCATCTTCCCCTTGATTTTTTTCAACTCATGCTATTTACGTGCCTCTTTACTCTTTTCCCCTATCCCTCAACTACCAAAAGTTAGCCCTTAGAACACCCTTTTCTTTCTTTCTTCCTTTCTTTGTTTCAGTGTTTTGTTCTACACAAAGCACCAACTCATACAACACTTGCTAGCAAGAAAGGCATGGCAACATGTGGGAGCCTGCATCACATCTTGGACACCCTATTGCCAGAAAACACAAAACTGATTGAATCCCTCTCATGGAACCAAATAAAGCCCATAAAACCCGCAGACCAAACCCTTTCCTTCAATGAGATATTTGGAGAGCCCTCCATCCAGCCTTACGTTTCTACTTCATCATCAAGTGAGAAAACAAACAACAGCAACAGCCACAAAAGCAGTGATAGCTTCTCATCCTTGAGTTCTGAGAGTTTGCACCTTTGCACTGAGGGTCTTGGCTTTGAGAGTTCAGATGATGTTGAAGACTTAAAGGATGGAACGAACGAGAGCTGGGAAAGGTTTAAGGAGATAGAGGGTGTGAAAAGGTATGCGAGTTCAAGGGTGAGTGAGTACCCTCCTCCCATTTCAAGCATAGGGAGGAGTGGAAAGCCTTGGGTTTGTTTCAAGTCTTACAGGAGTGAAGGGAGGTTTGTTCTCGAAGAGATAAGGATTCCCACGCACGAGTTCCTCCATGCTTGTAGAGAGGATGGAAGGTTGAAGCTGAATTTTGTTCACCCTGATGATGAATTTTCAGAAGAAGAAGAAGAAGATGCTGATGTAGAAAGTATAGATGAAGAAGAAGAAAACATGGGTGAAGAAAATGATGATTGTGTCATAGATCATGAAAATGAACAAAAAGAGATTGATGCTTAAGTGACTGGTCACTCACTTGATGAAAGAGCAGAAAATTTGAATGCTAAGGAAAAAAAAAAAAAGAAATCGAAGCACTGTTGTGATTTTGTATCTTTACTTTAATACATATGTTAGTTTTCGTCTCTTAACTCCAGAGATTTTTTCTGACACAAGCTGACGGCATTTGGTCAAGTTTTTGTTCGCACTAGTTCTAACTTGGGTTTGGAGTTGATTTTCTGACTCTCTTTTTTATTAGCAAATAATATATAATTTTTACAATAAATCTTTGGTAAGGTTGATGGACTTTTGCTGATGTTGTGTTTCAGAATTGGGAAGCGGAAATTCGTAGATTTTAAGGTGGGGGTAATGATAAGGTAATAAATCTTTATATGATAAAATGGTCATAGAGTAAACTTTGTATGATAAAATGGTCATAGAGTAAACTTTGTATGATAAAATGGTCATAGAGTAAACTTTGTATGATAAAATGGTCATAGAGTAAACGTTTCTACTTTTAATAAAAAAATAAGTAAAAGATAGAAAAAAATAACATTAAATAAATGTAAAAAGTTTGTGTCAGAATGACATGAGACTAAAACAAGAATTAAGAGGATAAATACTCTCAAAGAATTATTTTAATCTATAAGAAGAAAAAACTAAAAAAATATCTCATCGACCATACATAAGATACGGACATATTATATATAATTAGTAAAACTTTTTAGTAAAACTTTGTGAAGTTGAATTAAATTTAAAATTTATTTTTTAATATATAGATACAATAAAATTTATTATTTGTTGAATCTATTATATTATTTATTATTAGCAAATCATTCGTTAATATTTATTTTTAAACTGAAAATATTTCAAAATATATACCCATCTTTTGAGAAGGTAAAAGTTGGTGAAGAATAACAAACTTGTACTATATTCCTTTATAACAAACTTGCAATCTCCGCACCACTCTGCCGCACCACTCTGCTGCACCACTCCTTTTCTTTTTGTCTATTCTGCTTTTGTTATTTTGTCTTTTATGCTATTAGTATTCTAGAATAGAAGGAAATATTGTATATAAATATTGGATGACCTATTACTGAGATAATTTGATCATTTCCAAATACTTTCACCTTTTTATCATCTTTCGTTTTAAAGAAGTATTGTTCTTAACAAACTGTTACTATTACAAGTGGCAAAACTCTATGAATTGAGCCTTTTGAGACAGTTGGATCAATTGAGCTATAATATTTAATATTCAGTTCCATTTTTTCAACCGAGTAGTTCTCTGTGAAATTCATATTTCCCATAGATAAGATTGGGAAAGGGACACAGCACACAAGGAAAACGAAAAGAAAAGGGTTCTTCGATTCAGATAAAAGAATTCTTACTAGGATTTTGAAGTAAAATCTTGAGTTATGTTTATCGTAGAATTTGTTGAGGGAATTTAATATATAAATTATAATATATTTAATTGTTTTAATAAAATAATGTTTATTTAATTTTTAAAATTATAATAATTATTTTAAAAATGATGAATCCTTTCATTTATTGGTCGGTCTATTCTAAATTCATGAGTCGCATGAAAAATGGATCGATCAAAAAAAAGTTTATTTCAATACAAATCATTCTTTTAATCTGAACTGATTTTATAAACTTTTTCAAGCCATTAAAGCCTCTAATTCTACCCTGTCTTGATCTAAGATTATTGCCTTCAACTAAGAAATAAATGAAAAGGAGTATTTGTCTAGTGTTTTTATATAAAGTAAAATGATACTTTTTTTGTGCCTTTTCCATGCAAAATTACAATCTGGTTTATGATATTTTCTTAATCTATATACGAATATCTCTCTTGACAAAAGAAAAGTATAAAGTTATAAAATGAAGATATATTTAAAGAAGAAAAAAAGCTGTGAAAAAAAGTATAGTAAAACAGTTGAATAAAATAATATCAGCCTTTTCTTTTTGGATGAAATTTCAGGGAGAACGTACAAAGTTTCACCTCATATCTCTTTGACCCCTTTTTTCTTCCCTTTTTGTGCAAATTTAGATCCAGTCATCTATAGAATTTTATATAAAAGATATCTAGAATACAAGAGCATTTTTTTTTCTATTTATGTAAAGAAACAAAGAAGGTATTTTTGTTCATAATGCTGATAATACACCCTGTTAATGAATTTTGATAGTTGTTTTTACAGGGATCGGAGCAACTTAATACTGAAAACTTATTTTTGTTTCTTGTTCTGTTGAAAAATTGTCTCCTTAATGTTTTCAAGAGGATGCCTTTCCTTTCTCCACAAAGAATTAAGATCTTCATTTATCTATAATATTTTAACGAACCAAACATAAGTCTACATACACATGCTTTATACAAATTAATGCATGAATGCTCTATTTAGACACAACAAAACACTTCCGACACAAACAACAAATTTAGTTATAAAATGAAACATCATCTTCATACATGGTCATACGATTTAGATGAATGTCGGACTAAAGTGCACAACAAAACATCAAATTAGCAGATGATGATTAATTCCACATGTTTATTAAATTGCATGGAATTAGCAGATGATACTGTTGTTTTATCCCTTATTCTTGCCTTCTTGGTGAGTAGTGATAAATGCTCTAGAAGTTTGTAAAGGATTAAACCATTCCAGGTATCATTCTATAACAGTTACAATGTAAGATGTTTTATCTATCACCGAACAGGATTGGTGCCATCTAATGTTAAAAGCACCTTATATAGATCAGGACGCCTATCACGGAATACCCCCCAACTATGTCTCGTGGATTTAATCTTGTCCAAATCAAATTGTGCAATAAGAACAGCTTCCTCCTTATCGTTAGCAATTGAAACAATTTCTCCAGTAGGTCCTGTATGATGGTACAACAGAGTCAAAAGACACACAGAAAAAGATAACTTATGGCTGCAGCTAAATCTTTCCAAGTATATGAAGAAATGAAGTAAAAAAATTATTACAGTATAAAGAGGAAAGGGGCAATGATACACAGCAAGATAAGATTAGTTAACTGTTTATCTGAACGCTGAAAAAGCATATCATATCATATTTTTAATGAAAAGCTTTTTATGATTGCACTGGTCAACGAGTAAAGTTTATTTCTGTTTCAAATCCGTTCTGTCAAATTACCTGCTATGAAGGAGTTTCCATAAAATGTTATCTCACTTTTTCCATGCTCAGTCTCAATTATCTCCTTTCCAATCTTATTTGAAGCCACAAGAGGTACCTGCATTTTCCAAAATTATTTGCTAAATTATGTTAGAAAGTTCAAGTATTAATGTTTGCACAAATGGTTCAACCCTTGAGCTTTTTTATAAAAAGATTATCAAACAGAAAAAATTTCTCTTCTCTGTTGCATAATTTAGCATTGTATCTTCTGTTTTTTATCCAACAACTAATGCTGAAGGAGTTCTAGAATCTAGATGTGGAAATAGAAAGAGCTGCAAACAGATTATATATAAGAGGTACCAAGATATGCACCTAACAGAAACACATCAAAAATGAAAAAATATGTGGATATGTAACCACTAACTTGCATACAAAACCTACCAAATTGGCCCCAGCATGTCCTTGCATTACTCGTTTCCAGTGGTCACGTGAATCAATGTTTGCATCATGTGGTTCAGTCCCAATAGCAGTAGGATAAAATAAAATCTCAGCACCTTGAAGCACCATAGCACGGGCTGCCTCAGGAAACCACTGATCCCAGCATATAGCTGACATGAAAATAGTAATAGAAAACAAGAATGTTAACTTCAGTTTCTGTCTCACATAAAGACAAAAAATGCAGATTCCAAAATGTGTTTGGTTGCTTTTGCAAACATAAAGTCAACAATGGGAACATATGTTTCAGAAACTAAGCATTTTTTGTCAGTCAAAATCTTATACAGCCACACTTATGTTTGAGTATAGGAAAAGAAAATAGAATGCACAGTTACAGTAATTATAAGTTCATACCAACTCCAATTTTTGCAAATTTGGTCTGGAAAACCTGTTAAACAAAAGCCTCAATGTTACATGGTGTTCGATAGTCATAAAAAAGAACCATAAAACCAAATTCGTTTAAAGCAGTGCATATCAATTAAGGCTATTTTAAGTACCCACCTTAAATCCAGTATCCCCTGGATTAAAGTAGAACTTTTCCTCGTAACCTGTAGGAGAGATTGTTTGATGTGTTAGGATGTACACATTCTAAATGACACATAAGTGGCCAGAATATGGCATACCTGGTCCATCCGGAATATGGGACTTTCTATAAATCCCAAGGTCAGTGCCATCAGCATCAATTATGGCTATTGAATTATAGTGTGCATTATTTGCCTCCTCAAAGAAGCTAACCGGTATTACTACGCCTAACTCTTTTGCAAGTTTCTGCATCCTACATTATGAACATTGAAACAAGAATAAGGATTCACTGGACTATGGGACGATGAGCATAAAAAACTATGCCAATGTTTGTTCCTCTGCCCCAAAAGTACTACGTTCAGTGGCATGCAAGTAGTGACTAAGATCAGAGAAGCTAATTTATATTATTTTACCTGAGGATTGTGGGATGGTCCTTATGTGGCTTAGCTCTTTGAATATAATCCTCTCTTTGCGCCTGACAGAAGTAATAACCTTCAAAGAGCTCCTGAAATTAGTCATACATTATTAACATGATTCAAACACACAGCCAACCAGGGTTTTCCATCAGATTAATGAGTCCATTAAAATTACTATCCCTACCATGATAGAATAAGGAATTTGTTTTGTCAGTATGAACATCAAAAGTCATAATAATTCATTAGTCTGCCAGTCAGTAGTTCCAAAGATAAATAAATTTACAGCAAAAGTATTCTGACGATATCAGCAATTACAGTCAATAATCATAAGCATTATTATGAAAACAACATCTGTTGTAACAAAACAATGCTTATTAAATTAATAAATAGTGAAGAAGTACAGCTGTAATTTATTCAAATCCAACCCAAATTCCATTTCATACAGGCATATATGGCAGAAAAACAACTCGGCTCACTGTCAAACAGATTCGCTCATAGTCTCACTAGGTTTATCATCTATCGTGTCCCACAGTTCGACCCATAAGTTCTGGACCATAACCTGTCAAGATTTGTAATATAGTATTGTATTATTCATGGTAAAAAATAGTTTTATGAAGGAAATGCCATCTTATAAAATGTTAATCTACTATATGATTTACAAATCAAGAGAATT